AAGTGAGGTGAAAAATGAAAAATACGAACATTAACAATGTTGAAGTCAATAATGTAAATCGTGAACGTTCAAAGCATAATCTTGACCACGATGTCAATACTACCGCTAGTCTTGGAACTATCCAGCCTCTTGGCTTTATGGAAATGTTTCCCCACGACAAGGTAAGTTTTAAGCCTTCCACTCTTATTCGTGCTGGTGCAATGGTTGTACCCTCTTGGGCAAAATTTAAGTGGATGCTTTCTTCGGCCTTTGTTCCTATTAAGTCTGTTTTCCTAATTATGACTTTTTTGCAAGTGGTACGTATAAGCGTACTGCTACTGGCAAGTTGTCTATTAATACTTTCCTTGGATTACTACTGCCCAGTTGACTGCTCTTTGTTGTTGCGGTGCAAGAATGAGTATTTGGCTCAATTCTGTTGGTTCTCCTTCTGTATCTGCTAATGATTATGTTAAGGCTACTCCTTCTAGTTCTTCTGTCTTAAAGGATATTATTAATGCAGTTCGTACAATCCGAGTCTTTCTACTGTTTCTGCTGGTCAGCTAGATCTATTCCCTAAACATTCAGGTATTGCATTTAATGCCTCTTTCCTTTGGAATAGCGGTATTGGTTGGGACAATAATGTTAATGTGAAGCAAGTTTGGCTACCTTTGGGTAATACTCCAAAGTCCCTTGTTGGTACAGGCGTTATGTGGGATGATGTTTTCTATGGTTCTGAAGATATTTCTCCGTCTAATGCTGACTTTGTTATTGAGACTGAGAAATATGAATCGTCTGAACCATTGAATCGTAATTATGCTATTTGCTTCCGTCTTTCTGATAAGGTAAGTTGTTTGCAAAGTTGCTCCGTGGTTTAGGTTATAATCTTGACTTCCGTGCAGATACTGCTGACGATAGGGTGTCTATTCTTCCTTTGCTGGCTGGTATCGTGCATATTTTCGCTTTAATGGCATTGAGCGTCTCCGTAACTGGGAGTCTACCTATTGCCATCAGTTGATTAATTGGATTGAAACTAATGGTGATTCTGTCTGTGATTTTGGTTTGACTTCCTCTCAATGGGCTGCTCCCAAGACTTCTACGTCTTCTGCTCCTATTTCTATTTTTATGAGGTTCTTTGTTAATGAGCTGATGGATAGTTTCTATCCTACGGAAGACTATAATTTCGTTTCGGCTCATCGTGTTGACATTACCGCACCTTATTCCTCTAGTTCTGATTATCAGGCAGGTGATGGAAAGCCTGATGGTTCTTATGCTACTTCTTATTATACTCCTCAATGGCTTGAAAGTCAGATTAAACTGGTTAATTCCGCTATTAATGCATATGGCGGTAATAGGCAAGGTAACTGGCGTTGAGGGTACTACTGGTCATACTTTGGGTATTGATGGTGATGGTGCTGGTAATATGTATGATATTCAGACTACTATCTTTTCACAAGGTTCTTTGGTAGGTTTTCAGGCTACTGCAAAAGATGGTGGTTTGTCGGCTAATCTTGTTGAGGCTTTAAAGCGTTTGCAGCGTGTCACTTCCAAGCACGATGTATTTGGTCAGAATGTTCGTGCATTGATGAAGGCTTTTGGTATTGATGGTTATGATACTGATGAGCCTGTTGATGTACTTGGATTCCGTTCATTTGATTTGAACATTTCTGAAGTGACTTCTCTTGCTGATACTTATGCTAATTCTATTACTGGTCGTTATTTGGGTGAACAGGCTGGTAAGTCCGTAACCACAGGTGATGATGATTATAGTAAACCTATTGTATGCTCTACTGATGAACGAGGATTCTTCTTTGTTATGGGCGGTATAGTTCCTATTAGTGGTTATGTTAATATGGCTGACGAACATAACTATATGGTTCATCGTTCCCAGCAGTATGATAAGGAGTTTGAAGGTCTTGGATATGATGCTACTCGTATGGAGCGTCTTTTCGGAGATATCCGAGTCTCTAATAAGACCTCTACTATTAAGAAGCACGCTTTTGGTTTTGTTCCTCGTTATTCTGCTCTCAAGGTTAAGCATAATGTTCTGAATGGTGATTTTAATCGCCCTGCTATGCGTGATGCTTTGTTACCTTATTCCAGTGATAGAAATATCTCTCTTATGCAGCCTAATGGTGATGTAAAGCAGATTATTGATGCTGTTAATGTAGGAACTATTATGAATCCACTTTCAACAGATTTTATAATGATTTTCCAAACTTCCTCTTGCTGGCAAGGAATGGGCTTATTACTATAAGTATGGCTTTATGGGTTGGTTGAAATCGTATGTTTGTTAATACTGACCCAATAGGAAGTGTTAATTATTTTGGTGTCACTTCTTCTCAAATTCCTAATGAATGGATTATTGATACTTATGAAAATTTCATTGTCCATACTAGGGTCTTTATGGATTTGGAAAGTGAGATGCTGCCGATTGCTGCTACTTATCAGACACAGGATGACTCTGCCAAGGCTAATGAGACTTTGAGCCTTTCCTAATCACATACACTAAAGAGGGGGCGAATGTCCCCTCTTTCTTTCATTTTTATTTATGAGGTAAATTATGGTTGATGTATTCGCAGGTCTTGCTGCTGGTGCTGCTTCTGCTGGTGTTCAGCAGTATTTTAATGAAGGTAACTCTAAACGTGAGCAAGCTAATTTTGAGAAGAATCAAAAACAGGCTTACGAGTATTCCCAAATGGCTCAAGAGAATGCAGTTCCTAATGCAGTTAAAGGATTAAAGATGGCAGGTCTTAATCCAGCCTCTGCTGCACAAGGTGCTTTTAATTCTGCTCCTATGGCTGCACCGCCTATGCAAAATAAACAGGCTGGAATGGCTAATTTTCCGATTGCTGAAAGTGTTCTCGCACTCGCACAGGCGAAGAAAACTAATGAGTTGATGGATGCGCAGCGTGATAATATTAACGCTGATACTGCTAATAAGTTGCAAGGTGTAGAGACAGGTAAGTCGCAGGTTGGAGTTAACGAGGCGCAGGGTGAAAAGTTACGTTCGGAGACCAACTTAATCAGTATCAATATCACGTTCAGCGTGATGTAGATGGTTCTATTTTTGAAAATCTTATGACTGATAGACGAGATGATATGGAAGGTTATTCAAGAGTCTTGGTCTTGACATTAATAATCCTGATGACGTTAAACAGGCAAAGGAATCCTTTACATCAGGTAGTCTTCAGGGAGAGGTTAACTATTTCAAGATGTCTGCTGATAAGATTGAGCATATGAATAGGGAATCCATCGCAATGGAGTTCAATAACAATCCTGAACTTTCCGAGGCCGTTGCTTGGATGCCTTATTATGAGAAGCATAACTTATTACGGATATTGCTCACGTCAAGTGCAGGCTGAAAAGGAAATTGCTTTGCGTGATAAGTTACAGGCTGATACATCTCTATCAAGGCAGCAAAAGGAAAATCTTGTAAAGGAGATTCAAAAGATTGGTGCTGAAATTGGAGAGATTAAGGCAAGGACAGATCGTGTGACTTCGGAGAAGTTCCGTAATTATGCAATTGGTGCTAGTTCAATTACTGATAGTGCTTGGAAGATTGTTGAATCTTTCTTGCCTAAAGCAGCACTTAAAAATATTTCTGAAAATCCTCCTTCAAAGCAAATTATAAGTATACTGAATGGGAAAGTGTTAACGGAATGAAGGGAAGAACACACACATATTTCCCTGAAGGAGATTAACAAATGTAAAAATTAAAAGGCTTGACCAATGTCAGGTCTTTTATTATATTGTAGGTATAAACAAAAGGAGTTTATATATGAAGCATTATGAAAACATTCGGTTTATACTTATTTCATCGCTTTGTCAACGTTCATCTTACTTGCGTGGACTTTACAATGATGAAATTAGTGCTGATGACCCTGATAAGGATTATTTGCGTTACTTGGAGAGAGAAAGACGTGCTACTGTTCGTTTGCTCCGTATTGTTGTTAAAAGATTTTAGAGAGGTGCTTATATGGAAGAAGAACTTTTTAATAAACTGCTTTGGCTGATTTTTAAGATTTTTAGAATCTTGTCTTATTTTCTTGATGAGTTACTTAATGAATGTTTGGTCAATAAGTTTTCGCCCTAGGAATGGTACAGGTCATATCGTTAAGATAAAGCCTTACTATCTATCTTATAACGAGGCTGAAGTAGATTGCCACCATTTTAACCACTACTTTACATATTTCCGATTTTGGATTGAACGTGAAGAATAATACTTACTCGCTAACGATAATTTCCGTTGGCGAGTTTTTTGTTCGCTTACCTTGTTCCTGTTTCGCCCCCCATCAGCCTTACGCATATGCGCTGCCTGATTGTTCCTAGAGCCATATTCGTGCCTCATCGTTAGTGCCGTATAGATATTAATTGATAGCTCTTGGAGCGGAAAGATTGTATCTACGCAGAAGCACGCTGGCTCCATAATCCTCGCTTCCTAACATAGTCCTTGCTAACAAAACTTTACATTCAATGCTCTTCTAATAAATAACCATTTAAATAAAAATATCCTTTAATTGATGTTAAGATTTTGTTACAAGTCTGTCTATGTTCAGTAAGCAGTATTCAGTCTGTTTTAGCACTTTTACAAAAGTGCCCTATATACTTGACATATATAGGGCACAATATCCCTAGATATTCCTAACTATGGTTCAGTCAGCGTTAATCGTCAGATAGCTTGCTGAAGTGCATATATCTAAAATATCTCTTGACTTACCTGAAAAATAATTGTATAATTAAGTCATAATCAAGGAGAATTCATAATGTGTATGTGTAATATGAAAATTAAGGGTGTGAATCGTCACGGCCATACAACGTGCATTTGTACCCTGTGGAAAGTGCGAAGAGTGTCGTAATATGGAGCGTTCCGCTTGGCAGTTCCGTTTTCAATGTGAAGTTGAGGAGTATGTCTATCATAAAGGTGGCAGATGGGTTTCATTACTCTTACCTACAATGATGAGAATCTTCCTTACCTTCCTCAACACGTCTTTAAGGAGTGGGATTCAGGTACTTGTTGCTCTCCTTTGTTTGTGCCTGTTCCGTGTTTTTCAAAGAAAGACATTCGTGACCTTATTCACGGCCTCCGTAAACATTTAAACAAGAAATATGGTGTAAAGCGTTTAGTCTATCTCGTATGCTCCGAGTATGGCGAGAATACGAAGCGTCCTCACTATCACGCTTCTTTCCTGTTCCCTCCTGAAGTCCCTGCCGAGGAGTTCTATCAATGCATTCGTGACTTGTGGTGTGCTGAAGAAAAATACATCGGGCAGACTCGTAGATGGTTCGGAAATCAGTATCGCATTGTAGTTGAAAAGGCGAGACGTAACAAGGGCTTTACTTGTCCTCGCCAGTTTGAAGGTTATGGACGTGAAAAGCCTTTTCTCGTATCTACTGGCGATGCTTCTCACGCTTGTATCTATACTGCAAAGTATGTATCCAAGGATGTGTATTACCTTCAGGATTTGCCTTACGATAAACTAAATTTTGATAACTCTTATATGGATATTGAGGAGTGTGAAGATGCTGAAATCCCTAATTTTGAGAAACTTCCCGACATTCGTAACTATCTTCCGTTTCATATGCAAACTCGCTCGCTCGGTATGGGCATCTTGCATAATAAATCAGATCATGAGATTATGGATTTGTTTAAGAACGGAGTCCACTTACTGGCTCAACGAATGCAAAGCCGCAATGTGTACCTACTTACATTAAGAACAAGATTCTTTTCACTCCTTATTATATCGTTGGCGAAGATGGGAGACGTCTCGTACGTAGACAAGCCTCGGAGTTTTTCAATAAAAATTACAAAGAAGTATATAAAAAGAAGGTAGACTTTATGAAGGAATCATCAAAGACTTGTCTAATTCGGATTTTTTTAAATCTCGTAACCTTCCTAGTGAGCAAGCGGATAAATGGGCTAAAGAAGTAGGTTCTTTAGTTTCCTTGTCAGGTATGTCTAATCGTCTACTTGCTGAAGGTTACGTCCTTTACTATGGCATTGATTACAATTACTCTTATCGCAACGAAAATGATAGAGCGTTAGTCTATCTAAATCATTACTTCCCAATTGATGGATTCAATGTTCAATACCCTAAACGTGTTTCCAAGTTGCATAGGATGTGTAAGTCGGAACTGATTAGTTATGATGATTGGACTATCATCCAAAATTTTTGGTCAATTGTGCTTGGTCTACACGGATTGACTACTAAACGAGACAAGACCGATGAAGAAAAACTTATAGATATGGTTGCTGACTATCATAAGCATCTTGACGAAAGTGCTTTTGTAGAAAGTGGCTATATCAAGGAGAATGAATATGCCTTTTAGAGCATTTCAAAAGTTGGTTGAGGAGTACCCTACAGGGTTTTACTCCATTGTTGATTCCCCTACTCCTAGTGGTGTAGTTCTTGAGAAGTGTATTTCCAATGAGGAATTACACGAAAAGATGCCTGAACCTTCTTTGTACGATTTGGATAAATCCGTGCAGGCTGGTGTAAATCTTGATTCTGTAAATACTAAAGTTATTATTAAGTGAGGTGAAAAATGAAAAATACGAACATTAACAATGTTGAAGTCAATAATGTAAATCGTGAACGTTCAAAGCATAATCTTGACACGATGTCAATACTACCGCTAGTCTTGGAACTATCCAGCCTCTTGGCTTTATGGAAATGTTTCCCCACGACAAGGTAAGTTTTAAGCCTTCCACTCTTATTCGTGCTGGTGCAATGGTTGTACCCTCTTGGGCAAAATTTAAGTGGATGCTTTCTTCGGCCTTTGTTCCTATTAAGTCTGTTTTTCCTAATTATGACTTTTTTGCAAGTGGTACGTATAAGCGTACTGCTACTGGCAAGTTGTCTATTAATACTTTCCCTTGGATTACTACTGCCCAGTTGACTGCTCTTTGTTGTTGCGGTGCAAGAATGAGTATTTGGCTCAATTCTGTTGGTTCTCCTTCTGTATCTGCTAATGATTATGTTAAGGCTACTCCTTCTAGTTCTTCTGTCTTAAAGGATATTATTAATGCAGTTCGTAACAATCCGAGTCTTTCTACTGTTTCTGCTGGTCAGCTAGATCTATTCCCTAAACATTCAGGTATTGCATTTAATGCCTCTTTCCTTTGGAATAGCGGTATTGGTTGGGACAATAATGTTAATGTGAAGCAAGTTTGGCTACCTTTGGGTAATACTCCAAAGTCCCTTGTTGGTACAGGCGTTATGTGGGATGATGTTTTCTATGGTTCTGAAGATATTTCTCCGTCTAATGCTGACTTTGTTATTGAGACTGAGAAATATGAATCGTCTGAACCATTGAATCGTAATTATGCTATTTGCTTCCGTCTTTCTGATAAGGGTAAGTTGTTTGCAAAGTTGCTCCGTGGTTTAGGTTATAATCTTGACTTCCGTGCAGATACTGCTGACGATAGGGTGTCTATTCTTCCTTTGCTGGCTTGGTATCGTGCATATTTTCGCTTTAATGGCATTGAGCGTCTCCGTAACTGGGAGTCTACCTATTGCCATCAGTTGATTAATTGGATTGAAACTAATGGTGATTCTGTCTGTGATTTTGGTTTGACTTCCTCTCAATGGGCTGCTCCCAAGACTTCTACGTCTTCTGCTCCTATTTCTATTTTTATGAGGTTCTTTGTTAATGAGCTGATGGATAGTTTCTATCCTACGGAAGACTATAATTTCGTTTCGGCTCATCGTGTTGACATTACCGCACCTTATTCCTCTAGTTCTGATTATCAGGCAGGTGATGGAAAGCCTGATGGTTCTTATGCTACTTCTTATTATACTCCTCAATGGCTTGAAAGTCAGATTAAACTGGTTAATTCCGCTATTAATGCATATGGCGGTAATAGGCAAGGTACTGGCGTTGAGGGTACTACTGGTCATACTTTGGGTATTGATGGTGATGGTGCTGGTTAATATGTATGATATTCAGACTACTATCTTTTCACAAGGTTCTTTGGTAGGTTTTCAGGCTACTGCAAAAGATGGTGGTTTGTCGGCTAATCTTGTTGAGGCTTTAAAGCGTTTGCAGCGTGTCACTTCCAAGCACGATGTATTTGGTCAGAATGTTCGTGCATTGATGAAGGCTTTTGGTATTGATGGTTATGATACTGATGAGCCTGTTGATGTACTTGGATTCCGTTCATTTGATTTGAACATTTCTGAAGTGACTTCTCTTGCTGATACTTATGCTAATTCTATTACTGGTCGTTATTTGGGTGAACAGGCTGGTAAGTCCGTAACCACAGGTGATGATGATTATAGTAAACCTATTGTATGCTCTACTGATGAACGAGGATTCTTCTTTGTTATGGGCGGTATAGTTCCTATTAGTGGTTATGTTAATATGGCTGACGAACATAACTATATGGTTCATCGTTCCCAGCAGTATGATAAGGAGTTTGAAGGTCTTGGATATGATGCTACTCGTATGGAGCGTCTTTTCGGAGATATCCGAGTCTCTAATAAGACCTCTACTATTAAGAAGCACGCTTTTGGTTTTGTTCCTCGTTATTCTGCTCTCAAGGTTAAGCATAATGTTCTGAATGGTGATTTTAATCGCCCTGCTATGCGTGATGCTTTGTTACCTTATTCCAGTGATAGAAATATCTCTCTTATGCAGCCTAATGGTGATGTAAAGCAGATTATTGATGCTGTTAATGTAGGAACTATTTATGAATCCACTTTCAACAGATTTTATAATGATTTTTCCAAACTTCCTCTTGCTGGCAAGGAATGGGCTTATTACTATAAGTATGGCTTTATGGGTTGGTTGAATCGTATGTTTGTTAATACTGACCCAATAGGAAGTGTTAATTATTTTGGTGTCACTTCTTCTCAAATTCCTAATGAATGGATTATTGATACTTATGATAATTTCATTGTCCATACTAGGGTCTTTATGGATTTGGAAAGTGAGATGCTGCCGATGCTGCTACTTATCAGACACAGGATGACTCTGCCAAGGCTAATGAGACTTGAGCCTTTCCTAATCACATACACTAAAGAGGGGGCGAATGTCCCCTCTTTCTTTCATTTTTATTTATGAGGTAAATTATGGTTGATGTATTCGCAGGTCTTGCTGCTGGTGCTGCTTCTGCTGGTGTTCAGCAGTATTTTAATGAAGGTAACTCTAAACGTGAGCAAGCTAATTTTGAGAAGAATCAAAAACAGGCTTACGAGTATTCCCAAATGGCTCAAGAGAATGCAGTTCCTAATGCAGTTAAAGGATTAAAGATGGCAGGTCTTAATCAGCCTCTGCTGCACAAGGTGCTTTTAATTCTGCTCCTATGGCTGCACCGCCTATGCAAAATAAACAGGCTGGAATGGCTAATTTTCCGATTGCTGAAAGTGTTCTCGCACTCGCACAGGCGAAGAAAACTAATGAGTTGATGGATGCGCAGCGTGATAATATTAACGCTGATACTGCTAATAAGTTGCAAGGTGTAGAGACAGGTAAGTCGCAGGTTGGAGTTAACGAGGCGCAGGGTGAAAAGTTACGTTCGGAGACCCAACTTAATCAGTATCAATATCACGTTCAGCGTGATGTAGATGGTTCTATTTTTGAAAATCTTATGACTGATAGACGAGATGATATGGAAGGTTATTTCAAGAGTCTTGGTCTTGACATTAATAATCCTGATGACGTTAAACAGGCAAAGGAATCCTTTACATCAGGTAGTCTTCAGGGAGAGGTTAACTATTTCAAGATGTCTGCTGATAAGATTGAGCATATGAATAGGGAATCCATCGCAATGGAGTTCAATAACAATCCTGAACTTTCCGAGGCCGTTGCTTGGATGCCTTATTATGAGAAGCATAAACTTATTACGGATATTGCTCACGTCAAGGTGCAGGCTGAAAAGGAAATTGCTTTGCGTGATAAGTTACAGGCTGATACATCTCTATCAAGGCAGCAAAAGGAAAATCTTGTAAAGGAGATTCAAAAGATTGGTGCTGAAATTGGAGAGATTAAGGCAAGGACAGATCGTGTGACTTCGGAGAAGTTCCGTAATTATGCAATTGGTGCTAGTTCAATTACTGATAGTGCTTGGAAGATTGTTGAATCTTTCTTGCCTAAAGCAGCACTTAAAAATATTTCTGAAAATCCTCCTTCCAAAGCAAATTATAAGTATACTGAATGGGAAAGTGTTAACGGAATGAAGGGAAGAACACACACATATTTCCCTGAAGGAGATTAACAAATGTAAAAATTAAAAGGCTTGACCAATGTCAGGTCTTTTATTATATTGTAGGTATAAACAAAAGGAGTTTATATATGAAGCATTATGAAAACATTCGGTTTATACTTATTTCATCGCTTTGTCAACGTTCATCTTACTTGCGTGGACTTTACAATGATGAAATTAGTGCTGATGACCCTGATAAGGATTATTTGCGTTACTTGGAGAGAGAAAGACGTGCTACTGTTCGTTTGCTCCGTATTGTTGTTAAAAGATTTTAGAGAGGTGCTTATATGGAAGAAGAACTTTTTAATAAACTGCTTTGGCTGATTTTTAAGATTTTTAGAATCTTGTCTTATTTTCTTGATGAGGTTACTTAATGAATGTTTGGTCAATAAGTTTTCGCCCTAGGAATGGTACAGGTCATATCGTTAAGATAAAGCCTTACTATCTATCTTATAACGAGGCTGAAGTAGATTGCCACCATTTTAACCACTACTTTACATATTTCCGATTTTGGATTGAACGTGAAGAATAATACTTACTCGCTAACGATAATTTCCGTTGGCGAGTTTTTTGTTCGCTTACCTTGTTCCTGTTTCGCCCCCCATCAGCCTTACGCATATGCGCTGCCTGATTGTTCCTAGAGCCATATTCGTGCCTCATCGTTAGTGCCGTATAGATATTAATTGATAGCTCTTGGAGCGGAAAGATTGTATCTACGCAGAAGCACGCTGGCTCCATAATCCTCGCTTCCTAACATAGTCCTTGCTAACAAAACTTTACATTCAATGCTCTTCTAATAAATAACCATTTAAATAAAAATATCCTTTAATTGATGTTAAGATTTTGTTACAAGTCTGTCTATGTTCAGTAAGCAGTATTCAGTCTGTTTTAGCACTTTTACAAAAGTGCCCTATATACTTGACATATATAGGGCACAATATCCCTAGATATTCCTAACTATGGTTCAGTCAGCGTTAATCGTCAGATAGCTTGCTGAAGTGCATAATAATCTAAAATATCTCTTGACTTACCTGAAAAATAATTGTATAATTAAGTCATAATCAAGGAGAATTCATAATGTGTATGTGTAATATGAAAATTAAGGGTGTGAATCGTCACGGCATACAACGTGCATTTGTACCCTGTGGAAAGTGCGAAGAGTGTCGTAATATGGAGCGTTCCGCTTGGCAGTTCCGTTTTCAATGTGAAGTTGAGGAGTATGTCTATCATAAAGGTTGGCAGATGGGTTTCATTACTCTTACCTACAATGATGAGAATCTTCCTTACCTTCCTCACACACGTCTTTAAGGAGTGGGATTCAGGTACTTGTTGCTCTCCTTTGTTTGTGCCTGTTCCGTGTTTTTCAAAGAAAGACATTCGTGACCTTATTCACGGCCTCCGTAAACATTTAAACAAGAAATATGGTGTAAAGCGTTTAGTCTATCTCGTATGCTCCGAGTATGGCGAGAATACGAAGCGTCCTCACTATCACGCTTCTTTCCTGTTCCCTCCTGAAGTCCCTGCCGAGGAGTTCTATCAATGCATTCGTGACTTGTGGTGTGCTGAAGAAAAATACATCGGGCAGACTCGTAGATGGTTCGGAAATCAGTATCGCATTGTAGTTGAAAAGGCGAGACGTAACAAGGGCTTTACTTGTCCTCGCCAGTTTGAAGGTTATGGACGTGAAAAGCCTTTTCTCGTATCTACTGGCGATGCTTCTCACGCTTGTATCTATACTGCAAAGTATGTATCCAAGGATGTGTATTACCTTCAGGATTTGCCTTACGATAAACTAAATTTTGATAACTCTTATATGGATATTGAGGAGTGTGAAGATGCTGAAATCCCTAATTTTGAGAAACTTCCCGACATTCGTAACTATCTTCCGTTTCATATGCAAACTCGCTCGCTCGGTATGGGCATCTTGCATAATAAATCAGATCATGAGATTATGGATTTGTTTAAGAACGGAGTCCACTTTACTGGCTCAACGAATGCAAAGCCGCAATGTGTACCTACTTACATTAAGAACAAGATTCTTTTCACTCCTTATTATATCGTTGGCGAAGATGGGAGACGTCTCGTACGTAGACAAGCCTCGGAGTTTTTCAATAAAAATTACAAAGAAGTATATAAAAAGAAGGTAGACTTTTATGAAGGAATCATCAAAGACTTGTCTAATTCGGATTTTTTTAAATCTCGTAACCTTCCTAGTGAGCAAGCGGATAAATGGGCTAAAGAAGTAGGTTCTTTAGTTTCCTTGTCAGGTATGTCTAATCGTCTACTTGCTGAAGGTTACGTCCTTTACTATGGCATTGATTACAATTACTCTTATCGCAACGAAAATGATAGAGCGTTAGTCTATCTAAATCATTACTTTTCCCAATTGATGGATTCAATGTTCAATACCCTAAACGTGTTTCCAAGTTGCATAGGATGTGTAAGTCGGAACTGATTAGTTATGATGATTGGACTATCATCCAAAATTTTTGGTCAATTGTGCTTGGTCTACACGGATTGACTACTAAACGAGACAAGACCGATGAAGAAAAACTTATAGATATGGTTGCTGACTATCATAAGCATCTTGACGAAAGTGCTTTTGTAGAAAGTGGCTATATCAAGGAGAATGAATATGCCTTTTAGAGCATTTCAAAAGTTGGTTGAGGAGTACCCTACAGGGTTTTACTCCATTGTTGATTCCCCTACTCCTAGTGGTGTAGTTCTTGAGAAGTGTATTTCCAATGAGGAATTACACGAAAAGATGCCTGAACCTTCTTTGTACGATTTGGATAAATCCGTGCAGGCTGGTGTAAATCTTGATTCTGTAAATACTAAAGTTATTATTAAGTGAGGTGAAAAATGAAAAATACGAACATTAACAATGTTGAAGTCAATAATGTAAATCGTGAACGTTCAAAGCATAATCTTGACCACGATGTCAATACTACCGCTAGTCTTGGAACTATCCAGCCTCTTGGCTTTATGGAAATGTTTCCCCACGACAAGGTAAGTTTTAAGCCTTCCACTCTTATTCGTGCTGGTGCAATGGTTGTACCCTCTTGGGCAAAATTTAAGTGGATGCTTTCTTCGGCCTTTGTTCCTATTAAGTCTGTTTTTCCTAATTATGACTTTTTTGCAAGTGGTACGTATAAGCGTACTGCTACTGGCAAGTTGTCTATTAATACTTTCCCTTGGATTACTACTGCCCAGTTGACTGCTCTTTGTTGTTGCGGTGCAAGAATGAGTATTTGGCTCAATTCTGTTGGTTCTCCTTCTGTATCTGCTAATGATTATGTTAAGGCTACTCCTTCTAGTTCTTCTGTCTTAAAGGATATTATTAATGCAGTTCGTAACAATCCGAGTCTTTCTACTGTTTCTGCTGGTCAGCTAGATCTATTCCCTAAACATTCAGGTATTGCATTTAATGCCTCTTTCCTTTGGAATAGCGGTATTGGTTGGGACAATAATGTTAATGTGAAGCAAGTTTGGCTACCTTTGGGTAATACTCCAAAGTCCCTTGTTGGTACAGGCGTTATGTGGGATGATGTTTTCTATGGTTCTGAAGATATTTCTCCGTCTAATGCTGACTTTGTTATTGAGACTGAGAAATATGAATCGTCTGAACCATTGAATCGTAATTATGCTATTTGCTTCCGTCTTTCTGATAAGGGTAAGTTGTTTGCAAAGTTGCTCCGTGGTTTAGGTTATAATCTTGACTTCCGTGCAGATACTGCTGACGATAGGGTGTCTATTCTTCCTTTGCTGGCTTGGTATCGTGCATATTTTCGCTTTAATGGCATTGAGCGTCTCCGTAACTGGGAGTCTACCTATTGCCATCAGTTGATTAATTGGATTGAAACTAATGGTGATTCTGTCTGTGATTTTGGTTTGACTTCCTCTCAATGGGCTGCTCCCAAGACTTCTACGTCTTCTGCTCCTATTTCTATTTTTATGAGGTTCTTTGTTAATGAGCTGATGGATAGTTTCTATCCCTACGGAAGACTATAATTTCGTTTCGGCTCATCGTGTTGACATTACCGCACCTTATTCCTCTAGTTCTGATTATCAGGCAGGTGATGGAAAGCCTGATGGTTCTTATGCTACTTCTTATTATACTCCTCAATGGCTTGAAAGTCAGATTAAACTGGTTAATTCCGCTATTAATGCATATGGCGGTAATAGGCAAGGTACTGGCGTTGAGGGTACTACTGGTCATACTTTGGGTATTGATGGTGATGGTGCTGGTAATATGTATGATATTCAGACTACTATCTTTTCACAAGGTTCTTTGGTAGGTTTTCAGGCTACTGCAAAAGATGGTGGTTTGTCGGCTAATCTTGTTGAGGCTTTAAAGCGTTTGCAGCGTGTCACTTCCAAGCACGATGTATTTGGTCAGAATGTTCGTGCATTGATGAAGGCTTTTGGTATTGATGGTTATGATACTGATGAGCCTGTTGATGTACTTGGATTCCGTTCATTTGATTTGAACATTTCTGAAGTGACTTCTCTTGCTGATACTTATGCTAATTCTATTACTGGTCGTTATTTGGGTGAACAGGCTGGTAAGTCCGTAACCACAGGTGATGATGATTATAGTAAACCTATTGTATGCTCTACTGATGAACGAGGATTCTTCTTTGTTATGGGCGGTATAGTTCCTATTAGTGGTTATGTTAATATGGCTGACGAACATAACTATATGGTTCATCGTTCCCAGCAGTATGATAAGGAGTTTGAAGGTCTTGGATATGATGCTACTCGTATGGAGCGTCTTTTCGGAGATATCCGAGTCTCTAATAAGACCTCTACTATTAAGAAGCACGCTTTTGGTTTTGTTCCTCGTTATTCTGCTCTCAAGGTTAAGCATAATGTTCTGAATGGTGATTTTAATCGCCCTGCTATGCGTGATGCTTTGTTACCTTATTCCAGTGATAGAAATATCTCTCTTATGCAGCCTAATGGTGATGTAAAGCAGATTATTGATGCTGTTAATGTAGGAACTATTTATGAATCCACTTTCAACAGATTTTATAATGATTTTTCCAAACTTCCTCTTGCTGGCAAGGAATGGGCTTATTACTATAAGTATGGCTTTATGGGTTGGTTGAATCGTATGTTTGTTAATACTGACCCAATAGGAAGTGTTAATTATTTTGGTGTCACTTCTTCTCAAATTCCTAATGAATGGATTATTGATACTTATGATAATTTCATTGTCCATACTAGGGTCTTTATGGATTTGGAAAGTGAGATGCTGCCGATTGCTGCTACTTATCAGACACAGGATGACTCTGCCAAGGCTAATGAGACTTTGAGCCTTTCCTAATCACATACACTAAAGAGGGGGCGAATGTCCCCTCTTTCTTTCATTTTTATTTATGAGGTAAATTATGGTTGATGTATTCGCAGGTCTTGCTGCTGGTGCTGCTTCTGCTGGTGTTCAGCAGTATTTTAATGAAGGTAACTCTAAACGTGAGCAAGCTAATTTTGAGAAGAATCAAAAACAGGCTTACGAGTATTCCCAAATGGCTCAAGAGAATGCAGTTCCTAATGCAGTTAAAGGATTAAAGATGGCAGGTCTTAATCCAGCCTCTGCTGCACAAGGTGCTTTTAATTCTGCTCCTATGGCTGCACCGCCTATGCAAAATAAACAGGCTGGAATGGCTAATTTTCCGATTGCTGAAAGTGTTCTCGCACTCGCACAGGCGAAGAAAACTAATGAGTTGATGGATGCGCAGCGTGATAATATTAACGCTGATACTGCTAATAAGTTGCAAGGTGTAGAGACAGGTAAGTCGCAGGTTGGAGTTAACGAGGCGCAGGGTGAAAAGTTACGTTCGGAGACCCAACTTAATCAGTATCAATATCACGTTCAGCGTGATGTAGATGGTTCTATTTTTGAAAATCTTATGACTGATAGACGAGATGATATGGAAGGTTATTTCAAGAGTCTTGGTCTTGACATTAATAATCCTGATGACGTTAAACAGGCAAAGGAATCCTTTACATCAGGTAGTCTTCAGGGAGAGGTTAACTATTTCAAGATGTCTGCTGATAAGATTGAGCATATGAATAGGGAATCCATCGCAATGGAGTTCAATAACAATCCTGAACTTTCCGAGGCCGTTGCTTGGATGCCTTATTATGAGAAGCATAAACTTATTACGGATATTGCTCACGTCAAGGTGCAGGCTGAAAAGGAAATTGCTTTGCGTGATAAGTTACAGGCTGATACATCTCTATCAAGGCAGCAAAAGGAAAATCTTGTAAAGGAGATTCAAAAGATTGGTGCTGAAATTGGAGAGATTAAGGCAAGGACAGATCGTGTGACTTCGGAGAAGTTCCGTAATTATGCAATTGGTGCTAGTTCAATTACTGATAGTGCTTGGAAGATTGTTGAATCTTTCTTGCCTAAAGCAGCACTTAAAAATATTTCTGAAAATCCTCCTTCCAAAGCAAATTATAAGTATACTGAATGGGAAAGTGTTAACGGAATGAAGGGAAGAACACACACATATTTCCCTGAAGGAGATTAACAAATGTAAAAATTAAAAGGCTTGACCAATGTCAGGTCTTTTATTATATTGTAGGTATAAACAAAAGGAGTTTATATATGAAGCATTATGAAAACATTCGGTTTATACTTATTTCATCGCTTTGTCAACGTTCATCTTACTTGCGTGGACTTTACAATGATGAAATTAGTGCTGATGACCCTGATAAGGATTATTTGCGTTACTTGGAGAGAGAAAGACGTGCTACTGTTCGTTTGCTCCGTATTGTTGTTAAAAGATTTTAGAGAGGTGCTTATATGGAAGAAGAACTTTTTAATAAACTGCTTTGGCTGATTTTTAAGATTTTTAGAATCTTGTCTTATTTTCTTGATGAGGTTACTTAATGAATGTTTGGTCAATAAGTTTTCGCCCTAGGAATGGTACAGGTCATATCGTTAAGATAAAGCCTTACTATCTATCTTATAACGAGGCTGAAGTAGATTGCCACCATTTTAACCACTACTTTACATATTTCCGATTTTGGATTGAACGTGAAGAATAATACTTACTCGCTAACGATAATTTCCGTTGGCGAGTTTTTTGTTCGCTTACCTTGTTCCTGTTTCGCCCCCCATCAGCCTTACGCATATGCGCTGCCTGATTGTTCCTAGAGCCATATTCGTGCCTCATCGTTAGTGCCGTATAGATATTAATTGATAGCTCTTGGAGCGGAAAGATTGTATCTACGCAGAAGCACGCTGGCTCCATAATCCTCGCTTCCTAACATAGTCCTTGCTAACAAAACTTTACATTCAATGCTCTTCTAATAAATAACCATTTAAATAAAAATATCCTTTAATTGATGTTAAGATTTTGTTACAAGTCTGTCTATGTTCAGTAAGCAGTATTCAGTCTGTTTTAGCACTTTTACAAAAGTGCCCTATAATTGACATATATAGGGCACAATATCCCTAGATATTCCTAACTATGGTTCAGTCAGCGTTAATCGTCAGATAGCTTGCTGAAGTGCATAATAATCTAAAATATCTCTTGACTTACCTGAAAAATAATTGTATAATTAAGTCATAATCAAGGAGAATTCATAATGTGTATGTGTAATATGAAAATTAAGGGTGTGAATCGTCACGGCATACAACGTGCATTTGTACCCTGTGGAAAGTGCGAAGAGTGTCGTAATATGGAGCGTTCCGCTTGGCAGTTCCGTTTTCAATGTGAAGTTGAGGAGTATGTCTATCATAAAGGTTGGCAGATGGGTTTCATTACTCTTACCTACAATGATGAGAATCTTCCTTACCTTCCTCAACACGTCTTTAAGGAGTGGGATTCAGGTACTTGTTGCTCTCCTTTGTTTGTGCCTGTTCCGTGTTTTTCAAAGAAAGACATTCGTGACCTTATTCACGGCCTCCGTAAACATTTAAACAAGAAATATGGTGTAAAGCGTTTAGTCTATCTCGTATGCTCCGAGTATGGCGAGAATACGAAGCGTCCTCACTATCACGCTTCTTTCCTGTTCCCTCCTGAAGTCCCTGCCGAGGAGTTCTATCAATGCATTCGTGACTTGTGGTGTGCTGAAGAAAAATACATCGGGCAGACTCGTAGATGGTTCGGAAATCAGTATCGCATTGTAGTTGAAAAGGCGAGACGTAACAAGGGCTTTACTTGTCCTCGCCAGTTTGAAGGTTATGGACGTGAAAAGCCTTTTCTCGTATCTACTGGCGATGCTTCTCACGCTTGTATCTATACTGCAAAGTATGTATCCAAGGATGTGTATTACCTTCAGGATTTGCCTTACGATAAACTAAATTTTGATAACTCTTATATGGATATTGAGGAGTGTGAAGATGCTGAAATCCCTAATTTTGAGAAACTTCCCGACATTCGTAACTATCTTCCGTTTCATATGCAAACTCGCTCGCTCGGTATGGGCATCTTGCATAATAAATCAGATCATGAGATTATGGATTTGTTTAAGAACGGAGTCCACTTTACTGGCTCAACGAATGCAAAGCCGCAATGTGTACCTACTTACATTAAGAACAAGATTCTTTTCACTCCTTATTATATCGTTGGCGAAGATGGGAGACGTCTCGTACGTAGACAAGCCTCGGAGTTTTTCAATAAAAATTACAAAGAAGTATATAAAAAGAAGGTAGACTTTTATGAAGGAATCATCAAAGACTTGTCTAATTCGGATTTTTTTAAATCTCGTAACCTTCCTAGTGAGCAAGCGGATAAATGGGCTAAAGAAGTAGGTTCTTTAGTTTCCTTGTCAGGTATGTCTAATCGTCTACTTGCTGAAGGTTACGTCCTTTACTATGGCATTGATTACAATTACTCTTATCGCAACGAAAATGATAGAGCGTTAGTCTATCTAAATCATTACTTCCCAATTGATGGATTCAATGTTCAATACCCTAAACGTGTTTCCAAGTTGCATAGGATGTGTAAGTCGGAACTGATTAGTTATGATGATTGGACTATCATCCAAAATTTTTGGTCAATTGTGCTTGGTCTACACGGATTGACTACTAAACGAGACAAGACCGATGAAGAAAAACTTATAGATATGGTTGCTGACTATCATAAGCATCTTGACGAAAGTGCTTTTGTAGAAAGTGGCTATATCAAGGAGAATGAATATGCCTTTTAGAGCATTTCAAAAGTTGGTTGAGGAGTACCCTACAGGGTTTTACTCCATTGTTGATTCCCTACTCCTAGTGGTGTAGTTCTTGAGAAGTGTATTTCCAATGAGGAATTACACGAAAAGATGCCTGAACCTTCTTTGTACGATTTGGATAAATCCGTGCAGGCTGGTGTAAATCTTGATTCTGTAAATACTAAAGTTATTATTAAGTGAGGTGAAAAATGAAAAATACGAACATTAACAATGTTGAAGTCAATAATGTAAATCGTGAACGTTCAAAGCATAATCTTGACCACGATGTCAATACTACCGCTAGTCTTGGAACTATCCAGCCTCTTGGCTTTATGGAAATGTTTCCCCACGACAAGGTAAGTTTTAAGCCTTCCACTCTTATTCGTGCTGGTGCAATGGTTGTACCCTCTTGGGCAAAATTTAAGTGGATGCTTTCTTCGGCCTTTGTTCCTATTAAGTCTGTTTTTCCTAATTATGACTTTTTTGCAAGTGGTACGTATAAGCGTACTGCTACTGGCAAGTTGTCTATTAATACTTTCCCTTGGATTACTACTGCCCAGTTGACTGCTCTTTGTTGTTGCGGTGCAAGAATGAGTATTTGGCTCAATTCTGTTGGTTCTCCTTCTGTATCTGCTAATGATTATGTTAAGGCTACTCCTTCTAGTTCTCTGTCTTAAAGGATATTATTAATGCAGTTCGTAACAATCCGAGTCTTTCTACTGTTTCTGCTGGTCAGCTAGATCTATTCCCTAAACATTCAGGTATTGCATTTAATGCCTCTTTCCTTTGGAATAGCGGTATTGGTTGGGACAATAATGTTAATGTGAAGCAAGTTTGGCTACCTTTGGGTAATACTCCAAAGTCCCTTGTTGGTACAGGCGTTATGTGGGATGATGTTTTCTATGGTTCTGAAGATATTTCTCCGTCTAATGCTGACTTTGTTATTGAGACTGAGAAATATGAATCGTCTGAACCATTGAATCGTAATTATGCTATTTGCTTCCGTCTTTCTGATAAGGGTAAGTTGTTTGCAAAGTTGCTCCGTGGTTTAGGGTTATAATCTTGACTTCCGTGCAGATACTGCTGACGATAGGGTGTCTATTCTTCCTTTGCTGGCTTGGTATCGTGCATATTTTCGCTTTATGGCATTGAGCGTCTCCGTAACTGGGGAGTCTACCTATTGCCATCAGTTGATTAATTGGATTGAAACTAATGGTGATTCTGTCTGTGATTTTGGTTTGACTTCCTCTCAATGGGCTGCTCCCAAGACTTCTACGTCTTCTGCTCCTATTTCTATTTTTATGAGGTTCTTTGTTAATGAGCTGATGGATAGTTTCTATCCTACGGAAGACTATAATTTCGTTTCGGCTCATCGTGTTGACATTACCGCACCTTATTCCTCTAGTTCTGATTATCAGGCAGGTGATGGAAAGCCTGATGGTTCTTATGCTACTTCTTATTATACTCCTCAATGGCTTGAAAGTCAGATTAAACTGGTTAATTTCCGCTATTAATGCATATGGCGGTAATAGGCAAGGTACTGGCGTTGAGGGTACTACTGGTCATACTTTGGGTATTGATGGTGATGGTGCTGGTAATATGTATGATATTCAGACTACTATCTTTTCACAAGGTTCTTTGGTAGGTTTACAGGCTACTGCAAAAGATGGTGGTTTGTCGGCTAATCTTGTTGAGGCTTTAAAGCGTTTGCAGCGTGTCACTTCCAAGCACGATGTATTTTGGTCAGAATGTTCGTGCATTGATGAAGGCTTTTGGTATTGATGGTTATGATACTGATGAGCCTGTTGATGTACTTGGATTCCGTTCATTTGATTTGAACATTTCTGAAGTGACTTCTCTTGCTGATACTTATGCTAATTCTATTACTGGTCGTTATTTGGGGTGAACAGGGCTGGTAAGTCCGTAACCACAGGTTGATGATGATTATAGTAAACCTATTGTATGCTCTACTGATGAACGAGGATTCTTCTTTGTTATGGGCGGTATAGTTCCTATTAGTGGTTATGTTAATATTGGCTGACGAACATAACTATATGGTTCATCGTTCCCAGCAGTATGATAAGGAGTTTGAAGGTCTTGGATATGATGCTACTCGTATGGAGCGTCTTTTCGGAGATATCCGAGTCTTCTAATAAGACCTCTACTATTAAGAAGCACGCTTTTGGTTTTGTTCCTCGTTATTCTGCTCTCAAGGTTAAGCATAATGTTCTGAATGGTGATTTTAATCGCCCTGCTATGCGTGATGCTTTGTTACCTTATTCCAGTGATAGAAATATCTCTCTTATGCAGCCTAATGGTGATGTAAAGCAGATTATTGATGCTGTTAATGTAGGAACTATTTATGAATCCACTTTCAACAGATTTTATAATGATTTTTCCAAACTTCCTCTTGCTGGCAAGGAATGGGCTTATTACTATAAGTATGGCTTTATGGGTTGGTTGAATCGTATGTTTGTTAATACTGACCCAATAGGAAGTGTTAATTATTTTGGTGTCACTTCTTCTCAAATTCCTAATGAATGGATTATTGATACTTATGATAATTTCATTGTCCATACTAGGGTCTTTATGGATTTGGAAAGTGAGATGCTGCCGATTGCTGCTACTTATCAGACACAGGATGACTCTGCCAAGGCTAATGAGACTTTGAGCCTTTCCTAATCACATACACTAAAGAGGGGGCGAATGTCCCCTCTTTCTTTCATTTTTATTTATGAGGTAAATTATGGTTGATGTATTCGCAGGTCTTGCTGCTGGTGCTGCTTCTGCTGGTGTTCAGCAGTATTTTAATGAAGGTAACTCTAAACGTGAGCAAGCTAATTTTGAGAAGAATCAAAAACAGGCTTACGAGTATTCCCAAATGGCTCAAGAGAATGCAGTTCCTAATGCAGTTAAAGGATTAAAGATGGCAGGTCTTAATCCAGCCTCTGCTGCACAAGGTGCTTTTTAATTCTGCTCCTATGGCTGCACACGCCTATGCAAAATAAACAGGCTGGAATGGCTAATTTTCCGATTGCTGAAAGTGTTCTCGCACTCGCACAGGCGAAGAAAACTAATGAGTTGATGGATGCGCAGCGTGATAATATTAACGCTGATACTGCTAATAAGTTGCAAGGTGTAGAGACAGGTAAGTCGCAGGTTGGAGTTAACGAGGCGCAGGGTGAAAAGTTACGTTCGGAGACCCAACTTAATCAGTATCAATATCACGTTCAGCGTGATGTAGATGGTTCTATTTTTGAAAATCTTATGACTGATAGACGAGATGATATGGAAGGTTATTTCAAGAGTCTTGGTCTTGACATTAATAATCCTGATGACGTTAAACAGGCAAAGGAATCCTTTACATCAGGTAGTCTTCAGGGAGAGGTTAACTATTTCAAGATGTCTGCTGATAAGATTGAGCATATGAATAGGGAATCCATCGCAATGGAGTTCAATAACAATCCTGAACTTTCCGAGGCCGTTGCTTGGATGCCTTATTATGAGAAGCATAAACTTATTACGGATATTGCTCACGTCAAGGTGCAGGCTGAAAAGGAAATTGCTTTGCGTGATAAGTTACAGGCTGATACATCTCTATCAAGGCAGCAAAAGGAAAATCTTGTAAAGGAGATTCAAAAGATTGGTGCTGAAATTGGAGAGATTAAGGCAAGGACAGATCGTGTGACTTCGGAGAAGTTCCGTAATTATGCAATTGGTGCTAGTTCAATTACTGATAGTGCTTGGAAGATTGTTGAATCTTTCTTGCCTAAAGCAGCACTTAAAAATATTTCTGAAAATCCTCCTTCCAAAGCAAATTATAAGTATACTGAATGGGAAAGTGTTAACGGAATGAAGGGAAGAACACACACATATTTCCCTGAAGGAGATTAACAAATGTAAAAATTAAAAGGCTTGACCAATGTCAGGTCTTTTATTATATTGTAGGTATAAACAAAAGGAGTTTATATATGAAGCATTATGAAAACATTCGGTTTATACTTATTTCATCGCTTTGTCAACGTTCATCTTACTTGCGTGGACTTTACAATGATGAAATTAGTGCTGATGACCCTGATAAGGATTATTTGCGTTACTTGGAGAGAGAAAGACGTGCTACTGTTCGTTTGCTCCGTATTGTTGTTAAAAGATTTTAGAGAGGTGCTTATATGGAAGAAGAACTTTTTAATAAACTGCTTTGGCTGATTTTTAAGATTTTTAGAATCTTGTCTTATTTTCTTGATGAGGTTACTTAATGAATGTTTGGTCAATAAGTTTTCGCCCTAGGAATGGTACAGGTCATATCGTTAAGATAAAGCCTTACTATCTATCTTATAACGAGGCTGAAGTAGATTGCCACCATTTTAACCACTACTTTACATATTTCCGATTTTGGATTGAACGTGAAGAATAATACTTACTCGCTAACGATAATTTCCGTTGGCGAGTTTTTTGTTCGCTTACCTTGTTCCTGTTTCGCCCCCCATCAGCCTTACGCATATGCGCTGCCTGATTGTTCCTAGAGCCATATTCGTGCCTCATCGTTAGTGCCGTATAGATATTAATTGATAGCTCTTGGAGCGGAAAGATTGTATCTACGCAGAAGCACGCTGGCTCCATAATCCTCGCTTCCTAACATAGTCCTTGCTAACAAAACTTTACATTCAATGCTCTTCTAATAAATAACCATTTAAATAAAAATATCCTTTAATTGATGTTAAGATTTTGTTACAAGTCTGTCTATGTTCAGTAAGCAGTATTCAGTCTGTTTTAGCACTTTTACAAAAGTGCCCTATATACTTGACATATATAGGGCACAATATCCCTAGATATTCCTAACTATGGTTCAGTCAGCGTTAATCGTCAGATAGCTTGCTGAAGTGCATAATAATCTAAAATATCTCTTGACTTACCTGAAAAATAATTGTATAATTAAGTCATAATCAAGGAGAATTCATAATGTGTATGTGTAATATGAAAATTAAGGGGTGTGAATCGTCACGGCATACAACGTGCATTTGTACCCTGTGGAAAGTGCGAAGAGTGTCGTAATATGGAGCGTTCCGCTTGGCAGTTCCGTTTTCAATGTGAAGTTGAGGAGTATGTCTATCATAAAGGTTGGCAGATGGGTTTCATTACTCTTACCTACAATGATGAGAATCTTCCTTACCTTCCTCAACACGTCTTTAAGGAGTGGGATTCAGGTACTTGTTGCTCTCCTTTGTTTGTGCCTGTTCCGTGTTTTTCAAAGAAAGACATTCGTGACCTTATTCACGGCCTCCGTAAACATTTAAACAAGAAATATGGTGTAAAGCGTTTAGTCTATCTCGTATGCTCCGAGTATGGCGAGAATACGAAGCGTCCTCACTATCACGCTTCTTTCCTGTTCCCTCCTGAAGTCCCTGCCGAGGAGTTCTATCAATGCATTCGTGACTTGTGGTGTGCTGAAGAAAAATACATCGGGCAGACTCGTAGATGGTTCGGAAATCAGTATCGCATTGTAGTTGAAAAGGCGAGACGTAACAAGGGCTTTACTTGTCCTCGCCAGTTTGAAGGTTATGGGACGTGAAAAGCCTTTTCTCGTATCTACTGGCGATGCTTCTCACGCTTGTATCTATACTGCAAAGTATGTATCCAAGGATGTGTATTACCTTCAGGATTTGCCTTACGATAAACTAAATTTTGATAACTCTTATATGGATATTGAGGAGTGTGAAGATGCTGAAATCCCTAATTTTGAGAAACTTCCCGACATTCGTAACTATCTTCCGTTTCATATGCAAAACTCGCTCGCTCGGTATGGGCATCTTGCATAATAAATCAGATCATGAGATTATGGATTTGTTTAAGAACGGAGTCCACTTTACTGGCTCAACGAATGCAAAAGCCGCAATGTGTACCTACTTACATTAAGAACAAGATTCTTTTCACTCCTTATTATATCGTTGGCGAAGATGGGAGACGTCTCGTACGTAGACAAGCCTCGGAGTTTTTCAATAAAATTACAAAGAAGTATATAAAAAGAAGGTAGACTTTTATGAAGGAATCATCAAAGACTTGTCTAATTCGGATTTTTTTAAATCTCGTAACCTTCCTAGTGAGCAAGCGGATAAATGGGCTAAAGAAGTAGGTTCTTTAGTTTCCTTGTCAGGTATGTCTAATCGTCTACTTGCTGAAGGTTACGTCCTTTACTATGGCATTGATTACAATTACTCTTATCGCAACGAAAATGATAGAGCGTTAGTCTATCTAAATCATTACTTCCCAATTGATGGATTCAATGTTCAATACCCTAAACGTGTTTCCAAGTTGCATAGGATGTGTAAGTCGGAACTGATTAGTTATGATGATTGGACTATCATCCAAAATTTTTGGTCAATTGTGCTTGGTCTACACGTCGGATTGACTACTAAACGAGACAAGACCGATGAAGAAAAACTTATAGATATGGTTGCTGACTATCATAAGCATCTTGACGAAAGTGCTTTTGTAGAAAGTGGCTATATCAAGGAGAATGAATATGCCTTTTAGAGCATTTCAAAAGTTGGTTGAGGAGTACCCTACAGGGTTTTACTCCATTGTTGATTCCCCTACTCCTAGTGGTGTAGTTCTTGAGAAGTGTATTTCCAATGAGGAATTACACGAAAAGATGCCTGAACCTTCTTTGTACGATTTGGATAAATCCGTGCAGGCTGGTGTAAATCTTGATTCTGTAAATACTAAAGTTATTATTAAGTGAGGTGAAAAATGAAAAATACGAACATTAACAATGTTGAAGTCAATAATGTAAATCGTGAACGTTCAAAGCATAATCTTGACCACGATGTCAATACTACCGCTAGTCTTGGAACTATCCAGCCTCTTGGCTTTATGGAAATGTTTCCCCACGACAAGGTAAGTTTTAAG